CCCCCTTCCCGAACCCATGCCATTCCGTGGCGTAGCCCCTCCCCGCCCCTTGTCCCACTCCGATCCCCCTCACACCCTCCCGCTCACACACCCCCCCACTCCTCACACACACCCTCCACTCCTCCCCCCTCACACACACACACCCCACACACACACACCATACCATGTCTAGCACAGAGAGCAGCGGACGGCGCGGTGGGCTGGGTGCCGGGGCGCCGTCGCTGGGCCTGCGGGCAACCCGTGCGGTGGTGGCTGTCCTCACCAACGTGTTCAAGGTCATCCTCTTTGTGGTCGTCACCATCCGCGAGCCACTGGCTCTGGCCTGGCTCCGGCTCAACGTGCTGCTGTTCCAGAACGTGGGGCTGGCCCGCCGGCTGGCCCGCCCGGAGGAGAGCCCGCTCCCGCCGCGCTGTGTCGTGGTCGTCGGCGACGGCAATGCCGAGGGCTTTGGTGACTGGATCACCTTTGGCACCGTCGGCGGCATCGCCCCGCGCCTCGAGGGCCTGCTCCACGCCGACCGCCGCGTCCGCCAGCGTTGGCACGTCCTCAACATGGGCGCCACCGGTGCTTCATCTGAGGCTTGGCTCCCGGCTTGGGCCGGCCCGCCCGAGCGCTTTGCCTGGCTCTCGCTCAAGCCCTCGGCCCCGCTGTGGGACCAGGTGTTTGGGCTCGCCACCCGCGCCCGCGAGGCCGCCACCGCTGACGTCACCCTCCTCATGCTGGGAGCCTCCGATCCGGCCGTCGGGCTCACCGCGCCAGCGTCGTGGGCAAACATCCGCGCTCTCGCCGCCGCCATTGTCGAGGCCACCGGCGGCGTCGTCTACGTCGCCACTGTCCCGCTCGCGCCCTCGGTCACCGACGTCTACCTCGCCCAGCTCAACATCCACATCACACACTACTTTGATGACGAGCAGTCGCCCGATGAGGCCGCCCACTTTCGCCGCGGGCCCGACCTGTTCCAATACTTTCGCTCGCCGCGCGCCGGCGACGACCTCGAGGCCAACTTTGCCTGGGGCGGCCGCATACTGTCGTCGCGCGGCTACGCCGCCGCCGCCCGTCTCTGGGCCGACACGCTCGCCATGGATCTTGTCCGCATCGAGTACGACGCGCTGGCGGCGGCGCTCACCAGTGGCGGCGCCTAATCTTAGCCATCGCTTGCCTCACCGGTGGGTGAGGACCCGGAAGGCCGCCGCCTGGACCGCGTCGTCGTGGCCGTCCTTCTCTGGGCTCGCCACCACCACTCGCGGCATGTCCTTGACGCACTCGGCGTCCATCACAAAGTAGACCGGGCAAGCGAGTCTCTCGGCGCCAGACGCCGGCGACTCTGGCGACGATGCCGCGAGCTGCCGGGTCGCGATGCCGTTGGAAATGACTACCCGCGTCAACGCCTTGAGCGTCGCCATCCCCCGCTCGGTCCCCCACGAGCTGACAGTCCCGGCCTTGGCCGCTGTCAGTAACTCCACGAGGTGGGCTTGGCCTTCTGCAAACGAGTCAGACGCTGCCGAAAAGACTTCGGCGGCGGCAACAGCTTCAGGATTGATCGACTTGATGAGCCGGTCGTAGGTGAGCGCCTCGGGATCGTACACCCGCGCAAAGAGGCCAAACCGCTGCTCAAACCGCTTGCGTGGCGAGCCATAAAGCGTCTCCTCCTGACTCAGCCGCCCGTCAAGCGTGAGGCCAACGCAGAGCCGGAAGAGCCCACAGAGCACGTGCTTGCGCGCAGACGACTCTAGGATCTGCTCGCGGGTAGCAGCAACCGCCGCCTCGCGCGCCGCCCGCGCCGCCGCCGCCTTCTTCTTGGCCCCGTTCCCGCCCTTCTTCTTGCCCTTGCCTTTCTTCTTGCCGCGCTTCCCACTCAGGCCCGCCGGCCCCGCTAGCTGCTCTAGCGCTGCTGCGTGCCGCGCCAGCCGCGTCCGCAGCATTTCGTACCGCAGTCCCAGAAAGTAGTCGAGGTACCAGAAGACCGCCGTCAGCTCGCGGGTCGAGTACAGCTCCAGCTCAAAGCCGAGCTGCGTGTAGAGCGTCATGATTGAGACCAGATAGTATCGCGGGAACTCCATCAGCTGCTCCACATCAGGCGTCCACTTGCCGCCGGCTGCGGCAATCGCCGGCTGCGCAGCCTGAAACGCCGCATTTTGCGTCCGCAGCCACGCGTCAAAAGCCCGCGCCATCAGCTGGCTCCGCATCCGCGCCCGATTGAACGAGAGCGACTGGATGAGGATGCGAAAGGCGAGCGTCGCCGTCGTAAAGACTTGGTTCGCCTCGCATGCCGCCATCATCTCGTCCGAAAGCCCGTAGTCAAAGGCCAGGCTTGTCCGGACAGCATCCACAATCGGGGTCCCGCCTTGGAGCTCGTTGCGCGCGAGGACAAGGAGACTCAGCCGCGCCCGCGACGCAAAGTCGTGCTCATCGGAAAAGTGCGAAAAGTCGGTGACAAAGCGAACCGTCGCATCGAGCGTGTCCGGCACTTGCGCCACCTCAAGCGCGCTGGCCAGTCCGCGCACGTGCGTGCGGAGCTTGCTCAGCGCCTCGCCGCGCGGCATTGTCGTCTGCACCGCGATGAGGCCCGGCACCATGGCGTCGAGCGAGAGGTTGACGTCCAGCAGTGCCGGTGCAATTCGCGCCTCGGCCTCCTCGGGCGAGAGGCTCTCCGCAAGGCTGCCTAGAACTTGGTCGAGCCGCTCTACTGCCGTGGTCAGCTTCTTGCGCCCGTGCGAGAGCGATCGGTGCTTTCCGGAGCTCGCCACTTCGGCGCCATCCATTCGGATCTGGACCTGAATGAACGTCGCCCAGAAGAGGAGGAGGACTGAGGCCCGAGCCAGCGCTGGGTTGCCCTCGGCCGTTCCGCCGATCCGCGCCGCCTCGGCCTCGAGCGCCATAGCCACCTCGGCAGGCGACGCCGCAAGCGCCGGGAGAACAAGTCCGCCAGCACCAGGCACAAAGTCCTCTTCCTCATGCACATCCGCCCGGAGCAGCGCGTTCATCAGCAGCGTCGAGCACGCAACAAAGCCGTCGAGCGCAATGCCCAGCGGCGATCCCGGCGGAAGCTGGCCGCGCAGCGGGAGAGCCGCCACCGCAAACAGCGACTGCACCATGTTGATGCCCGACATGAACATGGCTTCCGCCACAACCAGCGCCTCCAGCGCTTCGACCAGCGCCACCGCCCCGGCCTCGGTCGTCTCATCAAACGCCAGCGCAAGCTCGCCAGCCGCCACTCGCTCCTCGGCACTCGCAACCCGCTTCTCTGTCATGCCCATGTCCATCTTGGGCGCCATCAGCTCGATCGAGCTCATGGCCTCTGTCAGCCGGAAACCATGCGGAAAGAGCAGCTGTCCCTCCGCCAGCGACTCGGTAGCAGCGTCTGTGGAGGGGAGACGGGGACGGGGCTGGGCGGTGAGGAGGGAGGGAGGGAGGGAGGGAGGGAGGGAGGGGGGGGAGAGGGAGAGAGCGTGAGAGACAGAGAGAGGCAAGGACATACGCAGGGCAGGGGTGATATCTTCCCAATGCTCATCGTTGGGGGGTGGGTTCTTCGACATGGTTGTGAGGTTGCGTGGAAGTGCGGTGAGGTGGAGTGTGTGTGTGTGTGGAGGGGGGGAGAGAGTGGGGTTGTGGTCGTGGTGCTGTAGTCTGGTCACGGGGGTGGATCAAGTCAGCCATGCCTAGCGCGGCATCGAATGATGACGGGGAAACAAGGGGAAAGAGGAGGTGGAGAGCAGGGATTTAGTTCCTGGCACCAGACGCTGACTTGCGAATCGCCAGCAATGCGAGATATCCGATGAGGGCGAGATTGAGGCCGACGACAACCGTGACAACAAGGTTGATCTGGACCTGATCGGTGCCCTGGGCACCCTCAACCAGGGTGATTGCGCCAACCAGGGTGGCGGAGAGGGCAGCGAGGGCCAGACACTCGGCCTTGTCAAACTCAGCACGGAGGTAAGGCGCGAGCTCGAGATGGATGGCAAGAGCCATGGCCAAGAGCGTGGCACCAAGGGTGACCTGCACCGACGCCGACGAGGCAAAGACGACGAGGACGACAACGACGACCTTGCGGAAGAGGATCACAAACTCATACCACCACAGGTTGCGCGCATAGCCAGCGACAACAAACGCCCACTTGGCTTCGAACATGTCGACGCCGAGCTTGCGGCGATCGCGGATCATGAGCAGCAGCGCGCCCACAGGGATGCCGATGACGTACAGGACGACAAAGATAGCGGCGATACCGGCGTACTGCGCGTGCCTCCCCACAAAGCACTCGACTTCCAAGTCCGAGACCAGCCGCGAATGCTCGATGCCTACAAACGACTTGCAGTGATACATCGAGAGCGTGGTGCGGACCAGGACCGGATAGACCAAAAAGGTGAGAATAATGCCGGCTTGTCCGCAGTACATCGACCGATGGGCTCGCTTGGTGGCATCGCGCGTCAAGCGCGTCACTACCAGCGAGGCCATGCCCACCGCAACCGCGATGACTACCGGCATCGCCATGGTCAACACAAAGTCCGAGTAGACCGAGAGACGGCCAAAGAGGCACACAAAGGTGTGGAACGAGAGCGATGGCTGGGTAAACCCGCCGATGAGCGCACCAATGTTTCGGATGACGTCTGACGTCTGCGCCCGGAACACGCTTGCGAGCGACAGTGTCTGCAAGTACGTGATCATGATCTTGAGTGCCACCGTGCGGCTGCCAGCCGCCACCGTCAGCGCTTCGTCTGCGGGACCATTGCGCTCAAGACTGACCGCATCAAGGTCAGTAGACTCTTCTTGTTCGTCGTACGAACAAGTCGATGACGAAGACGCCAGCGGTGAGACCTTGGCGGTCCGCCGACTTCCAGACTTGGCCGCGGACAGGCGGTCATCGCTCAAATGCGAGCGCGCCGCCGCGGAGCCGACCTTGACAATAAACACCACACCGACAATGCCGCCGCCGATAATTATGACCAAAGTTGTCCATAGCGCCCACTTGGGCCAGCACGGTTCACACGTCCGGCCGATGCGCGCATAGTCGTCGCCGCACTTGGCGCAGAGGAACGATCCCTGCTTGTACGTTGGAACCCGGCACGAATCATACGTTGGGCCGCCATTGCAGGCCTCGGGCGGATCACACCTATAAAAGAGCGGAACATGGAGAGCGGTCGACGTCGCAGCGTCAGTACCACTAGCGCCCGCTACGCCAACACCCGCCGCAAGCGACGTCGCATTCGTCTCGCTGCTGCTCCCGCTACCTCCTCCAGTGCTGTTGCTGCCACGGCTGGGAAACCAGTAGCCCTTCTTGGCGTGCAGAAACTTGCCCGATGAGCCGCAATCGGCACCCGCCGGACACGGCAAGCAGCTTGCTTCGCCGGCAAAGGCGTAGGTGCCGATCAGGCAGGCATCGCAGTCACGCTGAGTGTGGCCCTCCAGCGGCTGGACGGTTCCGGCCTCGCATGGCTCGCAGCGCGAGGACTCCACCTCGCCGCCTGACATGACCGAGACAATCTTCTGGCCTACTCCGCACTGCGCCACGCAGACCACGGTGTTGTCCTCCTCGACAGCCTCCTCGGCCGCTGATGTGCAACCAGTGATGGCAAACGAAACGGTCGAGGTCGCAGTCATGCACGGTGCCGCCACAAGCTGGGCCGAGATTCGGTAGCGCTGGCCGAGTGCCGCGATCGCCGGCGCCGACGCCCGGATTGGCCCCAACGCGCACGAGCCGGTAGCCGGGTCGATCGAGCACACTGACCGGGTCGTCACAGCCGGTAGCAACAACGAGTCGCCCTCGGCAGGAAAGGTGAGCGAAACGAGCTCGGGAAGCGCAGTAGCGGGGCGCCAAAGTCATCGTACGCCGCGACCGCGCCGTCGGCCAAAGCACTGCCAACAAGCACGCTGCCGGTCGAGATAGAGTCGGGCAGGTTCGGTGCCACAATAGCAATCGACGCCGCGTCGGTAGCAAAGGTGCCAGCCATGACAAGTGGCGCTACAGGGTCTGGGCGGGATGCCCAAGCCGAGTACGGGGTATAGACCGAGGGCGAGCTTGTGTTGGCAGCCTGCAGCGACGAATCGACCGACTTGCCGATCTCGCACACGCTCTGGCCGCACGTCGATGAAAAGAGGCAGAAGAACATGCTCGATCCACCGTTGCTGGCCGTGTTGCTGGTCATGATCACCGACGTGGTGTTGCTGTTCTCGACAACGACAAGCGAGCGACCTGTGGCAAACAAGCCTCCGCCACTGACGCTTGCCGAGTTACCGGAGAACACCAGCCCACTGCGGAGGCGAATGTTGCTCCCCGAGAGGTACCAGCCAGCGCCGCCTTGTGCCGCGTTGTCCGAGATGATCACGGTGCCGCTGGTTTCTAGGGTCGGCGGAGTAACAACAGCGTTGGAGAACGAGTAAAGGCCACCGCCATTGGTACTCGCAGTGTTGCCCGCAATGCTGACAGGGCCTTCCAGCCGCATGTTGTTCTCATAAATGTAGAGGCCGCCGCCACTGCCTGCCGCTGAGTTGCCGGCGAGGAGACTGCCACGCGAGACCTTCAGGAGCGCCTTGACGGTCTTGGTGCGAGTAAAGTAAATACCGCCACCGTCGATCGATGCCGTGTTGTCGCTGATCCTCACGTCCGACAGGTCGAGCTCAGTTAGCACGTCGATGGCGTAGATGCCGCCGCCGGAGCCGCTCGCGGTGTTGGCAGTGAGCTTGAGGGCCGGACCAAGCTTAAGACCCTTGGCCCGGAGCGAGGTCAGCCAAAGACCGCCGCCAGAGCCGCCTGCGCTGCATCCTGTGAGCGTGGAACGGCGGAAGACAAGCGGCGGGAGAATGTCGGACACCAGGTTGACATAAATGGCCCCACCATTATTCACGGCGGTGCAGCTCGAAAGGTGTGCGTCCTCCAGCAGCAAGCTAAAGATCGAGACTTGCGATGAGGCCGACGAGGTCATGGAGAGGCACCCGCCGTTACCGCCAGCGCTCGAGTTCGAAATCGTCAAGTTGCGGGTGTGGACGCCGGCAGTATCTATGAACGCGAGGCTGCCGCCGTCCTTGGCGGGCGCCGAGCAGCCAATAAACTCAACGTTGTCGAGAAAGACGGCCGGGCCGACAGCCAGGGTATTGGCCACCACAATGCCGCCGCCTGAGCCGGCGCCTACGCCGCCCAAAGCCGGCGCCACCGCGTTGAGGATCACCATGTCAGCAAAGGCAACCGAGCGTGCGCGGTGATTCGCATCAGCCATCGAGTCGCCATTGACGGTAAAGGCGCGGCCGGAGCCGGCGCAGTCAACAACAAGCGTAGTGCCCGCAACCAGCGGCCGGATGGCGACCGACTTTGTGACCAGCAAGCCGTCGCCCGGAAGACAGCCAGTCCAGGTCGCCGAAGCGTCAACAAGAATGTTGGCGTCGACTTGACCGACAACCGTGAGCGCATGCGCAAGGCATGCCATGGTGAACGGCGTCTGGCCCCAGCCAGCGCAGGCGGCAGAATCGACGGTGACGTCGGGCGTGTTGACTTCGCAGCGATAGTTGTGAATGCTTCGCGTGGTCGGCGCATCGACTACGGCAGTGATGACCGAGTTGTATGTGACGGGCGAATTCGACGCCGGACGGGCGTCCATGGACGGATTGACCGACACAGAAAAGGTACCGCCCGAGGTGAGCGGTACGTCCGACGAGAGCGGAATGAGCGGAGTTTGGGTGAGCGGATCCGAGGCGTCAATTACAAACTTGCGTGCCGCGAGCTCCGAGTCTGACTGCCAGCCGACAAACACAATCTCACCAGGGAGCGCGGTGATCGACGGCTGGTTCTGGGAGCCAGGAATCACCGAGTTGAGAGTCACCTCTGGGCCGATCGGGTTGAGGTCCGAGTCAAAGACACGAGCTTGCACCGAGAAGCCGGAGCCGTCGACACCACTGGACGCAAAAGTGGCAACGATGGTGCCAGCGGCAGTGACGGCAACCCGCACGTCGCCCTGATCGCCGACAGGCGACTCGGGGAGCAGCATCTCGGGTGTGAGCGGCGTCATGTCGTTGGCGTACTTGCGGATAAAGGCAGCTCCAGCATCGCCGTCGGCCGAGTGCGAGACGAGAGCCCAGACGGCGACAAAGCCGCCGCTGGGAAGGGCGGCTACGTCAACCGAGTTGACGGTGCTCTCGCACGGGTCGCAGAACCGGACCTCGTTGAGCACCGTGGCAACGTTGCTCGACAACCGGACGGCTCCGACGCGCGGCTCATACGCGTAGCGTGAAGCGGCGAGGATGGTGCCGTCGTACAGCTCGTCGCCGCGCCAGCGGTCGGCCGAGGTGGTGAAGAAGTTGGTCGCGCCGGCAGTGACCGCGCCAGTAGGCGTGATACGGGCGGCCGAGTTTGATCGGCCGGGATTGCTCCAATCAGTAAAGATGGCAATGACGTCCGCCGAGCTTCGAAGCGAGACAAGACCTGGGAACATCTCGTTCTGACTGTCGCCGCAGGCCAGGTCCGGACGGGCTCGCGTGTTGAACGTGCCGTCAAGATTGGTCACGTACACCTCGACTGTTCCAAAGCCGGACTCGACACACGTCGGGCCGCCCGAACCGCCAGATTGTGCGTGAACCTTGCACGCGCCGTAGAATGTGCCGCCGCCACTGTAGGTCCCTGTCACCTCGACCAAGTCCCATTCAGAGTTGGACGGCCACGCTGCCGGCTGGACACACGGCCCGTAGCGCTCAGCGAGGGCGGGGCGGGTGGCCGTCGTTGTGCCGGCAGCAGCCGCGACCACAGCCAGCCAGCCCACCACCAGTAGCGCAGCAGCCGCAGCAAGGCGAACCATAACCATACGCATATATGATGGCTGTCCGAGTTGGAGTCGAGTACGGGAGACGTGTGCAGACAGGTGCCGGCTGCCTGAGGGGAGGGGAAGGAGGGGGGACCGTGTTGTTGCAAACGTGGGTTCCCGGGGGGGGGGGGTTCACTCGTACTTCACTTGTTCCTCCCCCTCCAACGAACTCATGCAACCCGGAGTGGCGGTGGCCTACGGTGCAAGGTGGCTCACCTGTCTCGCCACCGCAGTCAAGGACAAGCCAGTCATGCGTTCTTGGTCGAGTGGTTCACGGGAGGGGATGTGGAAGCTGGGAGTTGCGGTCATGGCCAGCACGTTGCTGGTGGTGGGGCTGCTGAGCGGACGTTGCTCGGCGGGGCTGGTGAGTCCCGCAGACGTGGCCATGTCGGGGGCCTGCAACGAGTTTAACTCGCACAACCGCGACGTTGTTGGACATGACTCTGGGGCGTATGCGGTGACTGGCGGCGGCTTTGTGTTCGAGTCGTCAGCGACTGGCGGGTGGTCGGGCTGGCGCGAGGACGCCAACAAGTACGACAAGGACGGGGTGCCGGCCGGGGCGGCGTCGTTCCGCGACCCGGGCGCTGGCGGCGTCGACGGCAATCGGATCGATTGGGGCCGGTCGACTTCGATCCAAACGCCTGGCGGCGGCGATGTGTGGCTTGTGGGCTGCTTTCCACTCAACATCGGGTGCCGGTTCATTCACTATGCGAGCAACACGCTGTACCGGACGCCCAACATCTATGAGCCGGACTCGGGCGGCTTCAAGCCGGCGATTGTCAAGGAGCTGGACGTGTCAGACGTCGACACGCGGCTTGTTGTGGTGTATCAAGACTCGTCGACGCTGTACTTTCGGACGTGCGAGGTGGCGTGGGCCGTGCCGCCGACGCTGTCATCGTGCTCGGCACGGGTGGCGGTGACCACGAGCGGCAACATCCTCCACCACACGCGCTCGTTTGATGTAGCCTCGCTTGTTGGTGGCGGCTTTGTTGTGACGTTTACCACCAACGACGGGGCGGGTAACGGTGTGAGCTTTCGGGCGTACCGGCCGACGGCGACGGCGACGGTGTACGAGGCTGTGGGCGAGGCGATGACACCGGTGACCAACACGGCCGGCAATCAGCAGAACCCGCGATGCGACTCGCTAGTTGAGCTAGGTGGATTTGTCATTGCCTGGACCGACGCTGTGCTCGACGGATCAGGCATGGGCATCGTGTTCCGGGCGGGCGTTGTTGACATTGCGGCCGGCAGCATCGTGCTTGCGGGCGCGGCCGAGACGCTTGTCAACAGCGACGACTCTACCTCCGATCAGCGGTGGGCCGATGTGGCCGCCTCGCGCAAGCACCCGTTTGTGGTGATCTCATGGATCGACGACACGGCGGATCTGATTGCGTTTCGGCGGTTGATGTACGATCTGACGCCGGGCGCTCCACTGGCAGCCATTGCGATTTCGGGCACGATCAAGGGAGTAGGAACCATTGGCAGCCATCCATCCAATGGTGTGGGCACTGTGAGCGTGGCGTACCAGGACTACGACGCGGCAGCAGGCCTTTCGAGCGTGGTGCTTGTGGCCTCGGGCCGCGACAGTGGCGGGCGCGGGTCGCGAAACCTGGTGTGCCACGCCGGCACACCGACGCATCTGGTGCTTGATGCGGCAACGTGCGGCGGACTCGGTGCAGCTGCGAGTTCGACGGCGTGTATTTCCGCCGCGCTGGTCTCAGTGAGCGCGACGCTCGACGCCACGATTGAGCTTCCGGCCGGAACGTTTTCCGGACCGTGTAACTTTGTCGTCAGCTCGCCGGTCCGGCTGGTGGGCGCGGGCATGGGTGTGAGCAACATTGCATGCACTGGGCCTGTGAACGGCGCATCGTTCTCGATTTCTGGGTCTGACTTTGATGCGAGCGAGAAGAAACGGTCGGTGTCGATCCGCGACCTGAGCATGAGCGGCGGCGGGCCGGTTGCTGTGGCGGAGACGACAGATGGTCCGATTGTTGCGCTTGCGCGGCTTGTGCTCGACAGGCTCTCGTGTCCTGACGCGAGCGTGTGTGGTGCAGGCGGAGGCGCGCTCTCGCTGACGAATGTGGCGCAGTTCTCGCTCATGCACTCGGTTGTGTCGGGCGCAAGTGCGGGTGCGGGCAACGGCGGCGGTATTGGCTTCTTTTTCACGGCCGCGACGGGCTCGATCTCCATCGCCGAGTACAGCATGTACTTGTCAAACGTGACGCTTTCAGGCTGCAGCGCGAGCGCGGGCTCGGGCGGTGGGCTGTATGTGACGGCGCCAGCGGCGCTCGACCTCAAATCGGTGTTTGTGACGGACGTGCGGTTTTCCGGGTGCTCGGCGGCGGTCGATGGTGGTGGGATGAAGGTTGCCGATGTGGCGGCGACGAGCACGAGTGCGCTTATGATAGGTCCACGGCTGACTGTTGAGGCGTGCAGCGCAGGAAAGGGCGGCGGTGGAATGGCGATGGAGTCGCTGGCGGTCCCGCTGGTACTGACCGACGTGACTGTGGCTGGGTGCAGCGCGGCGAGCGAGGGGGGTGGTCTGGCGGTCTCGCACCTGTCTGCAACCCTCAATTCGGGCGGACTGACGCTGACTGGATGCGCCATCTCGGGTTGCACAACGAACAGTGATGGCGGTGGAGTCTACACGAGTGAGGTCTCTGTGGTGCTTGCGGGCGCAACAAGCGTGAGTGGGTGCTCGGCAAGCAGTGGGCGTGGTGGTGGTGTGCTGCTCTCGTCCAACGCACTGGTCAATCCGCCGGTCCTTGCAATTGCGTCGAGCGCGAGTGTATCCGGCAACATGGCGCAGAACGGTGGTGGAGTGGCGGCGCTGGGTGGCAGAGTCGAGCTCGCACCAGGCTCGCTCATCGGAGACAACACGGCAAGTGTGTCGGGTGGTGGCGTCCTAGTGGTCTCTTCGCGGGTGCATTTTTGCAGTGCCGACGGCGCTTTGCCGCGAGTGGTCAACAACGCCGCCCTGGTATCGGGTGGTGGACTGTTTGTGTGCATGCTTGATTCGTCGTGCGGGCAAGAGCTGTGCAACCGGGCGGCCAAAGTTGGCGACGTGCTTCTTATGCAACCGGTCTCGAACACGACCGGAGCTGCGGTGGGGGCGGCGACGCCGTTTACAACGTCGACGTTGCCGACTTCGCTTGCCGACTTTAGTGGATCAAGCGCGCCCTCAGGACCGACAGTGGCGTCAGACGCTGCCGCGACAGCGCTGCGGGTGCGGACACTGGCGGCGGACGGAACCGTGGTGTCGGACGAGTTGCAGACGGCAGGCTCGGGAGCAATAGCTGTGACGATCAAGTCGGGCGATAAGCCGTTTGTGACGCGGACGGCCAGTGGCGGGACGCAGGAGATCAGCATGGCGGTGACGGATGTGCTTGGGCAGCCTGCGGCGTTCTCCAATGTGAGGGCCGGGTTTGTGACTACTAACGCACCATCGGTCTTTGGTGAGGTCTGCACACGACAAGCTGATGGCAGTTGCTCGTTTGCGACTCTGCAGGTCTTTGCGTCGGATTTGTCGCACGTACAGGCTGGAAAGTCGTTCGGCTTGGCGATGACCTCGCTTTCAACATGCCTGCAGGTTGCGCCGCTAGACGCGGCGACAGGCGCTGCGCTCCAGGTCTCGGTCGAGCCGTGCGAACAAGGTGAGTCGACGTTTTTGTCTGAAGGACGCCTGACGTGCGGTGTGGTTTGTGGGCCTGGTGAGTTTCTGGACTTGAGAAACACTGCGGCAGGCAAGACGGTGCCGCGATGCACCAAGTGCCCGCGCGGAATGGTACTCAATCTGGTCGACCACAGTGCGCAACAGTGCGAGGCCTGTCCAGATGGGATGTACGCTGGTGACGGATGGGCGAACTGTCGAGCCTGTCCCAAGGGTGGGCTTTGTCCTGGCGGCGCGGCTGTGCTTGCGCAACGCGGCTACTGGTGGCCGAGCGGAAACGCGAGCAACATCGACGCCGCGCCGGCAGCATTCATCAAGTGCTTTAACGCAGACGCTTGTCCGGGTGGGGCCGAGTACTCGTCGTGCTCAGGGACCCGTGACAGTGGGTCATTCACGTGCTTCCGTTGCGAGTCTGGGCTTGTGCCTGACTCGTACGGGCGATGCAACGAGTGCGGGCCGATGTGGGTGGCGTATGTGGGCGGCTTTGCAGTCATCGCCATGTTTGGGTTCACCTCTGTGTGGTTCACGTCGCGGTCGAGCAAGTCGCGCGGGGCGTCGCGGCATACGGCAGCGTCGCCAGCAGCTGTCATCCGGTCAGGCTTCAACTTTGCGCAACTTGTGGTGCTGATGGGCGAGCTGAAGGCGCTGCAATCGTCGACGACGCTGCTTGCGATTGTGAATGGCATTTCGTTTGTGTCGTCGCAGGGCTCGCTCTCGTCGTTCTCGACCCATTGCTTGGTGGGTTCATCGTTCTACACTCGGTTTGTGCTCATTATGCTCGCACCGTGGCTGTACATTGCGATTGCTGCGGTGGTGCTCCTTGCGCGCGGGCAGATCCGCGGCCTCATCCGCTACTCTGTGGTTGTACTCTTCCTGCAGTACACCAACATTGCGACGGTGACATTCAAGGTCTTCCAATGCTCAGATCCCGGAACAGGCGAGCTGCGGCTGGTGGCAGATCCGGACATCAGGTGCTACGAGGGCTTGCACGCGCTTTTTGTGACGCTCGCGCTTGTCTCGATGGGCGTGTACGTGGTGGGCGTGCCGGTGGTCATGTTGCTGGGCATGCGGCGGACGCGATCGAACCCGGAGCGGTTCTGGTTCTACTTTTCGTACCTGGTCAACGGCTTCTCCGAGGACATGTGGTGGTACGAGGTGTGGGCGGCGTTTTCGCGCAAGGCGCTCATGGCTGCAGTGGTGGTCTTTATCACCTCGCCGTCGTTCCAGCTCTCGGTCGCCGGCGGGCTCGTTCTATGCATGTTTGCCGTTCAGATCGCGCTCTCACCGTATGTGGCCAAGCTGCTCGACTTAATCGATGCCATTGCACTCTTTGTAGTGTACGGATATGTCACGTCGGGCGCCGTGTTCCTCGACGAGGAAAACTCAGCGCAGACGAAGGATACGGCTGAAGGCCTGGTTGTCGCTGCCATTGCCGGAGTCTTTGTGGTCGTTGTCCTCGCAGTTGTATTTGCCGGCTCGCGTAAGCTCTTTGCCACTTGCCTCCCTCAACCCGAATCGAAAGCCGAGGCTGAGGCCGATGACAAGGACGTAGTTGTGGCCGAGATGATGCCGCTTGGCATCGGGTCGTCATCGTCGTCATCACTGAGCTCGGACTCGAACAGCCGTGACAGCAAGACCAGGTCGTCGTCGACGACGCTAGAGTCAACTCGGCAGCTGAACGGCAAGGTGGTGAGTCGGTCCGGACCATCGAAGATGCGGCGTCCGTCGGGCGTGTACCGCTTTGACTCGTCAGAATCGGACAGTGGATCGCGGCGCAACTCGCGCTTCAGCTCGCGGCGCAACTCGCGGACAATTGGGCCACGGCGGCTCTCCAAATCGTCGGCAGTAGCGGCACGGGTTGTGGATCTCGACACGAGCGACTTTTACAAGCCGCCACCGGGTGCTCATGCGTAATCTGGAGTAGCTACAATAACAATACAATGCATAGCAAAGTGAAGCAAAGCCGTCGGTCATCGATTCAGCGGCCGGAGACTCTCGGAGAGTGATGGTCTGGCAACGATCGGCCTCGAGCACATTTAGGTGCGACCCCAGCAAAAACGGCTTTTCATGCTTTTCTCGCGTTCTAGGCTAGTCACGAGCCATAGACTCAAATCAATACATAGAACGCATTGAGCGCTAGCAATCTATGCCGTGGAGACGGTGTGAGGTACGCGGTATCGCGACGACGGACAGCGTCGTGTGAGCCTCGGCGGTCTGCACAGACAATCCATCAAGTTCTATAATATTATATATATATTTCTATAATATTATATTTAGAATAATGAAGTTCTAAATATTGAAATAGTAATAGAATTGCGACATGGATTATATAAAAATAATATTTTTGGTCGTTTTGGAGATGTTTGCATACATTTTTTATGTTTGCGCCAGGGTCGACTATCCCGGATGGATGGGCCGTCCATCTCGATTCAATCGGGTAAGTTATCTCTCCGAGTCAGCTGGAAGCTGGGAGAAGACGCTCAACCGCGCAACACCCTTGAAGAACCAGAACCACTGTGCATATCCCACGCCTACCATCTATGCCCCTGAGGATACTCTTTCAGCTTGGAATGGCGAAACATCGTTCACTTTTGCAAGGTTTACACCCCCACCCCAAAAGGCGCAGCAGGCCTGGGGAGTGAGCTCGTCGATGTCCGTAGTATCCGCCCGACCATGGTCCACACCGGAGCGTTCTCGCTGGGAATGGCCTCGCCGAGCGCAAGGATGCGGGAGATAAAGTCATGGCTCGACTTGACGAGGACTGCGACACAGGCGGCCATGACTAGGGTCATGATCGAGAACGTCCACCCGGCCGCAAGCTGGTCTCTCACGCTCTCGAGCAGTGTCAGCATGCGCTCCATCGACGCTGCTACCTTGGCAGTCTCACACATGTCTGACAGCGCCATAAAATAGGCGTGTGAGACAATGACAAAAGCTTGAAACAAGCTCGTTTGCTCGCCGCAGCAGAGCTCGTGGCTAGGGACGCCGGCAGCGAGGTCCTCATCAAGCAAGTCCATGAATTGGGTAAACAGCGGAAGCGTACCCAGTGCGTCCAGCAAAGAAGCGTCGCGATCTGGATAGCTTCGGCCGGAGCACCCGTCAATGAGATCGAGGCCGACAAGTGTATTCCAGTACGAGACCTCGCCGCTTGGCTCGGGCAGGTCCGCATTGTACAGCGCGGCGGCGAGCGACAGCAGCTCGCGTGGCACCGGGTCAGTGCTGGGATGCGGTGGCACCGAGAGCACTGCTTCCATCGTTGGCCCAAGCGCCCGGTACAGGACCATGAAAAGCTCGTATGATATCGGCGAATGGTCGGCAACCGTGAGTGATGGCGGGAGCAGCGCACGCACCGCGCCGCGATCGCCGGACCGGAACGCAGACAGCAGCGCGGCGCACCGCTCCGGTACCATGACTGGCACAGCCAGGCTTCCCGACTCGCACGATTCTTTTGCCCGCGACGAGCCCTCGGCCGGAAATGAGAGAAAGAGTGGTGGGCTCGACGCGTGGCGCAGCGCCAGCGCCTTAATTGAGTTCGCTGCCACCATCCGAGTCGCGTACACCTCGGAGAGCTCCATCAGCGCCCGTACAAGCGTAGAAACGGTATCAAATGAGAGCTTCGAGTGTAGCGCTGGCAGGGTGGCCCCTGCTGTCCGAGCCATTGCGCGCAGAATCGCAATACAGCATCCGGCGTGCAGCGCCGCCTCGGCGTGATTAACGCCCACAAAGTAGGTGGTGACCAAAAAGTGGCCGTACGCCACCTCGAGCGACGGCACGTCATAAACTCGCGCCAGTCGAGCCTTGGCCGACGAAATGGCCGAGTGCGCTGCAGCAGTCTCGCCCATCCCGCGGAGCGTCACCGCTGAGATGGCGTCGAGCTGCATCACTGCTGCCCGCGGAAAGAGGCCGCCCCATCCGTATGGAGTCGCCAGGCCCAGCGTCGGCGCCACCAGCCGTCCGAACGTCGAAAGCAAGTGCCGTACTGCAGACATCGAGCCCAAGTGTGCCCGCCTCTTCAGTGCGCGGGCGAGCTCCCATGCCCCAGCCTCGTCCTCGTTCTCGTCGTCGCCCTCCGCCGCCGCCCGCCGCCGCTTAAGACTCTGCTCATCGCCCGGCTGCTTCACCACCGGCACTGGACCATCCAGCGCCAGTGGCAGCGGCAGCGAGAGTGAGTCCAGCGATCTTGCTGCCTCGTGGTCGCTCGCCCTTGGGCTTGGTGTCGCCAGCTGGTGCCGCAGAGCCTGGGCGGCTTCAAGATGCTGATTGTCGAGCGACACGTCTGCCGAGAGCGGGACCATCGCCAGCGGTGACAGCAGCCAATCGTCCTCGCCTCGCTCCCTCACCTCGCTCAACTGCACCCCCCTCACCGCTGGCTTGCTCACGCCCATCAACGTCGCCGGAGTCGCACCTCCGCTCGATGCCATGCTTGACGCGCCTTGCTGCCCCCGCCCCCGAGGCATGGCAAACGTGCACGCGCTCCCCCGTCGTCGACACGCCGCACAAGGCTGATTGCCATCACACTTGCGCCGCCGCCGCCGGCAAAAGTCGCATGCGCGTGCCACCTTGTCGCGGCGACCGCGCCGCCTCCCGCCTCGTCCGTCTCCCGCCATGCCGCTTCCGCCCCGCGCCCCGCCAACGGCCTCGCCACCAGCGGCAGCATCAGCGCCCACCGCTGCTGCGCCCGGCAGCTTCACATTCGCCACGCCCCAGTCGAGCTCGAGGTCGTCCATGCTGAGCATGAGACAGGTGTTGTCGATGACAAGACGGCGACCCGGAGCCCGGATCGAACCCATTGGAATTGGCCGATGTGAAACGCTGCTGCCCCCGCCGCCTTGGCGACAACGCTCTTGGGGCTCGCTCCGCCGCCGCCCGATGACAGAGAGACGGACATCAGTTTCTTTTACTTTCTCATTCGCTGGGCCCATTGCAGCGTCGCACACTCGCATTCTCGGTCATCGCCGCGCCGCGCGCCAGAGCGCGGCCCAAGTCATGAGACCGATGACAGCCACGCAGAGGGTGAGCATGCCCATCGAGTAGGCGAGTCCGCCGTCGCGCTCAACCTGCAGCTGGTCGAGGACGGCCTGCCCGCTGACGATGGGGCAAGTTCCGTTGATGGCCTCGTCGTCTGTGCATGATAGCGTCATGTCCTCCAGCTCGGCAATCATCATTGACGCAAAGCCGTAGCGGAGGAACGAGAGGTGCCGCAGAAGCGCAAAGCCGGTCCACATGTTGTCAAACTTGAGCATCACGCCGGTGAACATCATGCCCGGCAGCACAACCGCAGACGCAAGGATGTTGGCCGTGTTGGCATCGCCCGACAGCGCCGCAAGCAGGACGCCCATCCAGCTGCCTAGCAAAGCAAGGAGCGTGTTCGCGACCGTAAAGACCGCAATGGCCTTGAAGGTCGCCGTGAGGCCTGCGAGCGTGTAGACCGGCACAATGGCAAGGATCATGACCACCGCAAGACACGGGAGATCCGCTACAATCATGGCCAGTAGGTACGTGCCCGGCCCGTACACGCCCTCCTTGACTTCACGCCGGTAAGTGGCAAACTCGGCCATGAACACCGCCACCGCCGCCTCCATCGCCGAGAACATCGGCATGACAGACGCCAGCAGAAGGAGCCCGCCGCGGTCGTAGCCGGCGTCCTGACCGCGCGGAATCTGGTAGTAGAGCACGCCCATGAGCAGTGAGAATACCAGCGCCTGCACCAGTCGCGCGCCTGTCGCCTCGGTGCTTCGCCTCATCACCGCCGTGTTGCGCTTGATAAGCTGCCAGAACCCGCGCCCGGTCCGCCGCAGCGAGTCGCTGCATCCGCCACAGTTCTTTCCGCTCCCATCGCTGTCGTCATCGCCATGCCTACGCGGCGAGCTCAGGCTCTTACTCATAGTAGGCAGCGCTACCTGCGGCGAGACCGCCAGCGCGCGCTCCAACATGCTCTTGCCGCCCTTACCTTCCTCCGCCAACGCGTATCGGACTCCGCCTCCGGAGCTTGAGCTGGACGACACGCTACCGGATCGACTGCCGGAGCTGCTGCCGGATCCGCTAGCGTTCTCACCAGCTTCCGGGCCTGCCAGCACCTCGACCACAAACTCGATCGGGCTCACCCCATCTGGGCACTCCATGCCGGCTGCAGCGCCCCAGTGCGGGAGCAGGTCCGCGCCGGAGCCGGCAAAGGCAACCCGCCCGCCGCTGGCGAGGCAAACCACATCATCAAAAGCATCAAAGACCTCGACCGCACCCTGAGAAAGTGCGACCACAACAGGGATTTGTGCCGATCGCGCTAGCGCCGCCAGCACCTCGATCACCACCACTGCAGTGGCAGAGTCCAGGCCGGCCGTCGGGTTGTCCACCAGCAGCACATCTGGTTGGCTCACCAGCGCCCGCGCAATGTTAGCCCGCTTTCGCTCGCCACCTGAGAGCCCGCGCTTGAGCCCCGGCGTCCCGACTACCGTGTCCGCCACCTTGGTCATGCCTAGCGAGGCGAGGACCGAGTCGATGATCTTCTCCCGCTCCGCGGAGCTGCTGCTTCCGTGGTACACCGCCGCCAGAAACTGCAGCGACTCACGGGTCGTCGTACTCTCCAGCACAATGTCCTCTTGCGTCACCAGCCCGATCCGGTCGCGCACCGCCTTGCGGATGCCCGACTGCGCGGATGCCACCGTCTCGTCGCCCAGCGACACTGTGCCCGAGCCAATGCCCAGCCCACGCCCCATCCGCCCCGCCAGCGTCTCCAGCAGCACCGTCTTGCCCGAGCCAGCCGGACCGACCAGCAGCGTCAGCCGCCCGCTCCGCAGCCACATCGACGCCCCGTCCACCACCACCTCGCCGGTCTTGGTCTCCACCGTCAGCTCAGATACAATCACGTCGCGCCAAGCCGCCGTCTGCGACGACGTGCTTGATGCAAGCATGCCCGAGGAGTCAAGGGAGCTTGCTGTGCTAGTCCCGATCCCCGATCCGGTTCCGGTGCCGGTCCCAGTCCCAGTCCCGGTCCCGGTCCCGGTCCCGGTCGTCGTACTTGTGGTGCCCGAGCTTGTCGACGAGCTGGTCGAGCTCGAGCAGGCTGCGCTAGTCGAGCTGGTCACGCTCGCCACCATCTCAAACTCCATCACCGCCTTGCACCGCTGATGATTCAAGTCTGTCTGCCTCGCCACCACCGCCCGCCGCCGCCGCAATACCTCTGCCTTTTGTTCCCGCTCGCTGGCCATCCGCCTTCCGCCTCCGCCTCCTTCCGCCTCTCCTTCCGCCTCCTCCTTCCGCCCCTCACTCGCCTGCGCCAAGACACAACCACCACAGACTACGCCAAGACACAACCACCACAGACTACGCGCTCTACCACGTGCCGTCCTAGACTCGCCTCTCTCCCTGTTCTCCCTCTCCTGCGAGCAACCGCCTCGTCTCCTGCCTCCGCCGATCGCCTCCGCCTGCTGCTTCCGCCTCCGCCTCCGCCTGCTGCTTCCGCCTCCGCCTCCGCCTGCTGCTTCCGCCTCCGCCTCCGCCTCCGCCGCATCCCCAAAAACAGCTGCCATCGCCCGGCCGGACACTCCCTCGCCCGCCTCGTCAACCGCGCACATTCCGCAAACGCCATGTCGCTGCTCTCCTTCAATGACATCAAGGCCTGGGTCAAGGTCTCCGGCGCCGAACCAGGCGCCGTCTCGGACTCAGCCAAGTCCATCAAGACCATCCTGCGCTCGGTCTCGGGCACGGTAGCTGCCGGCGAGCTGACCATGCTAATGGGCGCGTCGGGCGCCGGCAAAACAACCCTGCTGAACGTGCTCTCCTCGCGCGCCGCGGGCGTCTCATCGTCAGGCACTGTCCGCCTCGACGGTGCGGTCTACGATCATGATGCCTTCATGGCGTCGACAGCTTACGTGACCCAGGACGCCACCTTTATCGACACCATGACGTCCGACGACATTCTTTGGTTCCGCGCCCGCCTTCAGCTGCCATCCTCGCTCTCCGATGAAGATCGCCGCGCTCGCATCGATGACGTGCTTGAGCTCATGGATCTAACCGCAGTGCGCGGAGTCCAGATTGGCGTGCCCGGCGTGACCGCCAACGGCCTCACCTTTGCCCAACGCAAACGGCTCAACATTGCGGCTTCACTCCTCATCAACCCCTCGGTCCTGTTTGTCGACGAGCCGACGACCGGCCTCGATGCCCGCGCCGCCCGGACTGTGATTGAGGCCCTCCGCCGGGTTGTCGAGACCCGCGGCATCATCGTCTTTGCCACCATCCACCAGCCCTCGGTCTACGTCTTCAATCTGTTCGACACTGTCCTCCTCATGGCGGCCGGCCTCATCGTGTACTCGGGCCCTACCCACGACATGCTTACATACTTTGCCGACATGGGCCACACCTGCCCGCGCCTCAAGAATCCAGCCGACTTTGTCATCGAGCTCATGGCCGACGCCTCGCCCAAGAATGCCGCCGCCTTTGCTGCCTTTGCCGACTCACGGGCTGCCTTGTCATCGTCGTCGTCATCGTCGTCGTCATCGTCGACCACAACGCCGGCCATCACATCCTCGCGCGAGGCTAGTTCAGCACCGGCTGCGCCACTCGCCGTCATTGCGCCAGCAGATCGCGCATCGTGGGCCCGTCAAGCATGGGAGTTGACCAAGCGTGCGGTCAAGATCTCGCTCCGTAACGAGTCTGCCGTCAAGTCCAACGTCGCGCAGTCAGTCTTCTTTGGCCTTCTCCTCGGCCTCCTCTACAATCTCGATGCATCCCAGGCCGGAGCGCTAGATCGGGCGGGCCTTCTCTTCCTCACAGTCACGAACGCGATCTTTATCTCTGTTCAGGCCTCGGTCTTTGTTTTCATGTCCGAGCGCTCTGCGCTCTTCCGCGAGACAGCCGATGGTATCTATGGGCCGGCAACGTACCTGTTCTGCCGGGTACTTGCCGACATCCCGTTCCAGTTCCTCTACCAGCTCCTCTTTGCGCTCCCACTCTACCCGCTTGCCGGTCTCAAGGCTGAATGGGGTACCGCTGCGCTGTTCGTCCTCATCCACGGTGTGACGGCCGTCGTTGGATCGGTGATGGGCGTGACAGTCTCAGCGTTTACCTCGGAGGCTGCGGTTGCCAACGCCATTGCGCCGCTCCTGCTCATGCCGGCGATGATGGTCTCGGGCTTCCTAATTGTGCCAAAGAACATTCCGGCATGGCTTCGTTGGCTCCGGTTCATCTCGCCGCTCCGCTACGGCTTTGGCGCACTCCTCCTCGCCGAGGTCGAGGACATGACCTTCCGCTGCTCGCCATCAGAGGCGCTGTCCGACGGCTCGTGCGCTATCAACTCAGGCGAGGACATGCTTGCCACGTACCAGATCAAGGAGCATGGGTTTGGGACCGTGGCTTCCCAGATCTCCATCCTCTTTGTCTTTTTCGTCGTCCTCCTCGGCCTCGCCCTCGCCGCCATCGTCTCGACGGTGCGGCGGAAGCAGGCACCCAAGTCGTAAACAACGTTCAATGCAGAGCAGCAGAGCAGAGCCGGGAGACACGCATGCCATCATGCGCTGACACTCTTGGCTGCGGCCTTGACAAGGCCAATGGCAGTCAGTCGCTCCATCAGAAAGTCATCGGCGGTAATGGGCGGCTCCGGATGGAGGGCCGAAGGGATGGGCTCGATGACAAAGTCGGGCTCAAAGTGGAGGAAGAACGGCGATGAGTAGCGCGGGAAGAGTGCCCGCTCCGGAGTCGGGTTGACGACCCGATGGGTGGTCGACGGCAGCGCACCACCTGTCAGCCGCTGCAGCGAGTCGCCGCAGTTGATAACAATCGAGCCAGGCGGCGGGTTGAGCGAGAGCCACTCGCCCGAGCGATGCTTGACCTCGAGCCCAGCCTCCTCGGCGCCGAGCAGGAGGGTGATGACTGAGATGTCTTCGTGCGCGGCAGCACGAATGGCGCCCGGCGGCGGCGCGTTCGGCTGCGGCGGGTAGTGAAGCAGGCGGAGAACCGAGTTGCCTGCGGCAACAGCGCCATCAAACAGATCGTCGGGCACCTCGAGATGAAGGGCGATGGCGCGGAGGAGCTCGCGGCCAAACTGGTCCAGCGCATGGTAAAGTGCGTATGTGTCGTCGTCAAAGGTCTCGATCTCACGCACGCTCGGCGTCGGCTTCATCACTGCCGTCCAGGCCTCCTCGGGCAGGCGGCGGCCGACGTGGAAGAACTCCTTGGCATCAGGCAGGCGGGCCGACTTGTCCTTGGCGTGCTCCTTGCCGAACGGAGTGTATCCCCGCTGCCCAGCCCCGTCCGGGTCGTGGTATCGGCCCTTGGCCTCCTTGTCGAGCGCAAAGAACGCCTTGGACGCCGCGTACGCCCCATCAATGACCTCGCTGGCCACAGGGTGGGATGCCACCACGGCGAAGCCGGTCTCGCGGAAGGAGGCCCCGAGCGCAGCCGCAAATCCTGCGGGGTCCTCGCTCCACATCCCCCACGGAATAGGCTCAAAGTACACAGTTGATCCCATGTCGCAATCTTGCTGCCCTGCTAGTGACCGTGCGTGGAGTATGGGCTCCTCCCTCAGCCTCCCCTCCAAACCGGTCAGTTGAGCCCATTGCCGCCCAACGCACGGAATATGGCCAATTTGGCGTGCGCCGCCTGCCACACCGATGGCACTCGGCTATCCTCGGATCCCCGCGAATCCCAGCAAAAGCCCGCCATCGTCTTTCGGCTATCGGGTGCTGCACTTGCAGGTGGTCACCGATCTTGCATCAGCTTTACTCGGGCGTCGGATCAGGCATGAAGAACATGGTTCCGCGTAAGCTGTCAGGGAGATAACTCTGCGAGGCAGCCTCGGCACGGGTGGCATGCGGCGGATAGACGTATCCGGCGCCATGGCCAAGATCCTTGAGCACCTTTCGCGGCGCGTTGCGGAGGTGGATCGGGACGGGATCGTTTGGTGCGCGGGCGACGGTCTCCTTGACCCGCTTGATTGCCTCGTAGACAGCAACTGACTTGGGCGCCTTGGCGAGGTAGACGACAGCCTGGGCGAGGACGACGTCGGCTTCTGGCATGCCGATCAGGTGCGAGGCCTGGAAGGCTGAGACAGCAATGGCAAGCGCCTGCGGATCAGCCATCCCAACGTCCTCGGCAGCAAAGCGGATGAGCCGCCGCGCAATGTACTCGACCTTCTCACCGCCGGCAAGCTGGCGGCCGAGCCAGTAGAGCGAGGCGTCGACGTCAGAGCCGCGGAGCGACTTGTGAAGCGCCGAGATGACATTGTAGTGCTCGTCACCAGCCCGATCAAACGCCACCATTCGAGTCTGGAACGCTTCCTTGACCGCTCGCAGGCTGAGAGCGTCTCCCGGGCTCCGTCCGCGGGCCTCAATGTCCATAGCAAGCTCGAGCGCGTTGAGCGCAGCGCGAGCATCACCGTCGGCTAGTCCAGCAATGGTGCCAAGCACGTCGTCAGTGACGGCAAGGCCCGATCCGTGCGGCGCAGCGTCGAGAGCACGGCGCAGAATGGCGATGACATGCTCGGCCGAGAGCTTCTCAAAGGTGATGATGCGGGTCCGCGAGAGCAGGGCGTCGTTGATCTCAAACGCCGGATTCTCGGTTGTGGCGCCGATGAGTGTGATAAGTCCCGACTCGAGCGCCGGAAGGAACACGTCCTGCTGCATCTTGTTGAACCGGTGGATCTCGTCAAGGAAGAGCACAGTGCCCTTGCCTGTCAGCCGGCGCGTGTTCCGCGCTCGCTCTAGCTCCTCTCGAACAGCCTTGAGGTTGGCAGAGACAGCCGAGAGCTTGCGAAACACCATCTTTCCCTCCACACGTGTCCGGATGACGTGGGCGAGGGTGGTCTTGCCACAGCCGGGAGGTCCCCAGAGGATGAGGTTGGGAATCTTGCCCTGTTCGATAAGCGTCGCCAGCAACGTCCCGGGCGCCAGCGCCTTCTCCTGTCCACGCATGTCCTCTAGCCGCTCTGGTCGCACCCGCTCCGCCAGCGGAGCCGCCGGTCCACCCTCAGAACGGTCCTTCCGCCCCAGCCCGCGCGCCCGCTTGGCCGCAGGCGCCGCCAGCGTAGAATCGTCCCTTCCCAGACCCTCGTCGTCGTCGCTACTGCCCGAGTCAAGGACGACAGCCGAGTTCCTCAGTCGCTTGCTCCCCGGCGCGGTATACGCCAGCGACCGAGCCACACCCTCGCCGCTTGCTCCCGTCCCACTCGGCCTGCTACTCTGGCTCGCTGGGCTTGTCTGTGAGCCTGCTGCCGGCGAGCTCCCAAGCGCCGCCGTCGTCGGGTCGGCACAGCCGGCATCCAGATGAGCATTGATGTCGTGGATGGAGACATCGGTGGCACAGACTGGACACGCCACAAACCGTGACATGGTTTAGAATGGTGAGACGGGTGTGGAGAGAGCAGTGGCGAGTCGGGAGGGTGACGATGGCTGTGGTACAACTGTGTGCCACCTGCTGCATCGGTTTGATCAATGAAATGGGTGAGAGAGAGGCTACGATTTCGGGCGCTGTGATGCAGACAATATGGATAGGGTTGACGAATGTGCAAAGTATAGAGTGCACCATTGGAAGCAGATGGTGAGCTGGAGAGTTACGATTGTAAACTGATTGTTTGTGATGTGAGATGGGTTATGTGAGGCGGTGATCGATGGTTTCTAAGAAGTAGTTGTGCTACGATTGATGGACGTTGCGACGTATGCGAACCGTCGCAGAGCGCGGCTTGCGCGACGGACAAACTGTCCATTCCGTACCGTAAAGGATTAAGGAATGTGCCTGGATTGGACATCTTGTTTGAGATCACTCCCTTACATCCAGCTTTAGATCGCTAGCAAATACCTCTGGTTGCACAGATGTGACGAGGTGAAGCGATCACCCCCTTCCCCTTCCCCCATTCATCGCCTTCCACCAAGTTGAGAGCCAAGATCAGATCCCCAAACAGCAACCATCCCTTCCATCAACTTCCCCCTCCCCTCTTTGCCCACCTCCTCTAGCTGCCTTTTACCAACATCAAGATCAGTGACTCCAACCCACCAGGAACCATCCGATGCATGATGGTGCACCACATCAAATCGACCTATTCCATGGCTGACACAAAACGGGAGAGGGGGGAAACAGGCGCCTGGCGATGCCCACATTGACGACCAGCACGACTGCTTCCTCGACCTGCAGCAGCACACTCCAGTCACCGCCCCCCCCCCCCT